TGATCACATCAGTAACTGACTAGCATCGGAGTTATTGATTACCAAAACGCCGTTCTGCGAGATCTGGTAGATAAAAACAAGGCTGAAATGCATCAGACGACGAATTCTAATGCTAGCATAAATTATGGACAACTCTCTCTCATGTAGCGGTTACGCCGCAGTATCTGGAATCTCATGGATCTAAAACGTAGTTGCACAACTCAGTTATCAACAGTACAGACTGCCAACACAGTTATTTTTCCGAGATCCTGTGACCGAATTTTTGAGAGAGCGTTTTTCCATACAGTGGACTGGCGAATAGTCCAGGACAAGTAAAAATAAAGATAAGTACGTACAGGCTGTGCTTCACATGGGCAGCAATGTCGACACGATATGGACTATCTATCATAAATGAGATGATAGATAGTTTGACAACTATGACATTAAGCTAAGAGACTGATAACAAAATAGCGATAACGATAATGACATAAACACTGACATAAACACACTGAACAACAAAGCAAAATTTAATAAATACTTGAAAATCGCATTTTTTGCATAATTCGGAATTGAGAAGGGAAGACGAAATTAAAACAGCCATTTGAGTGCCCTCCGTACGACTGCTGGCATCGATGACCATTCAAGTGAGATCGTTTTATCATCGCCTGATTTCACTATCGCCTAAAATTAACAAATTAATAACCGGCTTCAAAGCAGATTTTGATAAGACGGACACAAGTTTGTCTTCAAAGCAATTTCGTTTATGCCGATGCAGTTTTCAGAATTAAAATGATACAATGCAGTTGATACAGAATGTTCTTCATAAATGCAAAACGTTATACTTGATCAAAACGTCATGATCACTAGCAGCTTATTACCAGGCAGACAGCCTTAGTCAAAGCAATCGGCAAAGCTGCACTGCTGCATAGTTAGAAGATAATACATATCTCATTAAGCGAACTGGGAATATGGAATGTACCGCAAAGGATTATTATAAATTTAGAAAATTCGTATTTCAGGCTTCAGCAGGTGCAAGACAGATGCAGCAGAGCATTTATAACTTTTTTAAAAAAGTCTCCCATAAACTCGCCAGAATAAGTTGCCTTGTTCCTCCTTGGCCAGTTACAGTTAGGCATGAAACTGCTATGAAAATGCAAATTTTGCAAAAAACAAATATACCTTATATCTGGTCGGCCTACCATCAGCTCCGTGTTCTTCTGCGGTAATATTTTTGACGTCACCGGGAAGATTAGCATTCAGATATTGGCCAAGCAATGCAGCGATACGATCAAAACTGCCAGCAACACTGATACAGGTCTTCGGCTCCATCGGATCACGCATCATGCCATATGGGCAGGCGCAGTAAAAATCGCCAGGCGTGTTCACGCATCCATGCGAACAACCACCATTCTGTTGCTGGCACTCATTGACGTCTACAGAAAAGCAAGCTCATCCATAAGTGAGACGAAATTTTTTCACCCGATATCAGTGCCGTAAATGAGGTTACAGGACGAAAAAGGCATGGTGGATCCGCACACTGCCACCCGGAATATCTGAGCCTGTTAATAATTACTCGGAACAAACACTACAGATAAATAACGAGTTAGGCAAAAAAGCAGGGAGGAGAGACCTCACCAAGTTATTAGCCCTCTTTCGAATACTAACAAAGTATCGACTGTGAAAGCAGTACTTTTCAATTTCATAGCGTCACCAGTTCCGCCGTGAGGAAGTGAAAGACGAAACGCTAGTTAAGTGAATTAATCGAAAAAAAAATTTTTTCATTTACAAAACAATCGCTTACCGTAACATTGTCCATGACTGAAGTAATATCCACTCGGGCATCGTCCACCTTTAGCAGGCATACGGCACAAGCATTCACCGTCTAGTGCCGGCGGTAAAGTAGAAACCGGTCGGAATGGATCCATCACACTTCCACATGACGGTTGTACCAGGGCTTTCCCATCGCTTGTGCACAAACACTGACATGGAGCAACGGAGTAAGCATCGAAAGATTCGTAATCTGGCGGAGCTGTGGTTTCTAAATTAATATTATTAGGTAAAGGTTGATAGTTTCCGATTATTTAAATGGTAACAGAAATCCTTCATAGCTGCGAGAACGGAATATGCCGTGCTTTCAAGAAATAATGTCACAGATGGATCAAAACCGCTTGTCAGAGATTTTTGAAGTTTTACAAAAGCCGCGAAAATTTTTCAGTTAGTATTGGGGCTCCCTATTAGTGACGTTATTTGGGCACGCCAAGCGTTCTGTGCCAAACCTTTTAGTCCTTAAAATGCGTGAAAAAAACAGTACCTTTATTAAGCTCAACAGTGTCGCATTTTTCCAGATCCAAGGAAGCACTGACATTAGCAGCCCGTTGCTTCGTCTCGACGCATACTGTATAAATATTATCGGTCGGTAATCCTTCTATCGTTTTGCCGAAACTGTCACGGCAACGCGCATTCACTCGTTGCCAATTCGCTTTTGGGAGCAACTTATCCGGTGTGTACAAAATGGTGTAATCCTGAGGAAATATCACGTCTGTACAAAGCGGTGCAGTACTGATGATTTTTTAGTCCTCGTAAAACAAAGCAAACCAAAATAATTATCCGTTGTGTTTTTTTAGTCTTCGTAAAACAAAGCAAACCAAAACAATTATCCGGTGTGTCTACATGAGCATCTAAACGGCCCGAACAACCTAAGAATCCCATGCTTCTGTATTACTGGAATGCAGAGGGATAGCCTGTTTTTATGTCGGCGTAGCTATACCAAGCCATCGTATGCTGAGCTGCGCACTTTCAGTTATTACCCATCGACTGGAGATGATTTTCTGTATTGTAGGCATGAAGTTTCGTGTCAGTGAATAATGTAGCCCCAAAAGTAGCGGTATAATGTAGCCCCAAAAGTAGCGGTATACATCGAAATAAAAAGGCAACAAACTCGTCCGGAAGTATTCTTTTTTTAATCGAAAATCCGTGAAAAGGAATGGCAAGGGAGAAGGGATGGCTTGTTCCTTCCCTTGCCAATGAGTTAGGATCTGAGCGTGTTAGAATTAAAAGAAACCGCTTTATTATTAGTGCAGCATGTCCAAGAAACGGCCAAAGAATTCGGACTTAACGGTGTTGCTTGAATATTGGTCGGTTCGGTTATTGATATTTTTGCTGAAAATAGAATTACTGTAGATATTAAACAGATGTAAATACAGCTTTTATGCTAAATCCGCTTCCTCTTATTCATTATGCCAACCTACTCCCCCATCTCTTCTGAATCTGTCATTCCTATTTGCTTTACTTTGTTTTTCCTCACAAACAACTTTTTCAATTCGCCTGCCTGGTGTCTTTTGGGATGCTATCCTGGAAACGGAGGACTCGTTCTCTTCCAAGATGGATCCTTCAGGCTTCATGTGAACCCCCAATTTTTACTTCGAGTTCTGACTCGAATCTTCGTTCTCGTTAACACTCGAGCCCTGATTTTCTTCAGTGCCCTTATCTCCAGCTTAATCCTCACTTCTCAGCCCTATTTTTCGACAGTGCTTGGAATCTCTCTGCTGCCCACTCGTAGCTAGTCCAATTAAGAATGCACTTGTCAGTGACTCCTCCGCCCCCTATGAAGAAGCCGGTACTTCAATTTGGCTGCTAGATCCGTTGTTTTATTAATGTCTAATAAAAGCCCTTTTGTAAGTCCCCCGCATCACTGACGACCAACACATCCATCTAAGTTATACTCCCTAAAAACAATGTGCAGCAACATTACTCCACCATGATCTAACAATAGCAACGTAGTGGTGGCGGTCATAACCAGCAACACCTTGAAACGGTTAAATTCTTGCCAAGTATTTATATCTGGAGAACACTGAGCAGCAATCCCTTCAAGGGGCGAAACGAGCGACAAGATCGCAAGCAGGCTGACCCGCAGAATGCAGAGACTGCTGGGCATCCCATGTTAGTAATGCCTACAGCAATCAAGAAATTTGCCTGCCGCACAGCTAGCGAATCAGAATGCGAATTCACAGCTGATCCAAGAACCCAAATAACTTATGATACTAATTTCACACTTTCCCACACCAATAAATTATATTTGAACAGAAGAGAAAAGTGCAATCGTCGCAAAATCCGATTTAAACGATTCAAACTGCTAAGCATTTACGTCTCGCAGTTATTATAACAGCTCTGAAAACCTGACGTTCTGCTAATGCAGAAATTTGTTTTTGATTCGGAAACTTCTTGTTCCCAGCCAAAACTCGTTTAAATTACTTTGAAATCCCTGAAGATATTAACATAGCAATCGCTAACCAGTTGTTTTCCTTAAAGGTGGTCGTGTCATGCGTGTCGATTTAGATGTTTTAATGAACGGTTTAGTCACATAATTACAGATGGCGTGCGCAATCCAGCTATCAAATAATTCGCTACCGATAGACCAGTCCGAGAAATGAATTACTCTGCAAATAGAGGAAAAAAAAATGAATGCCAAGACTGCTTGGACATTCAGTATGAGCATTCTGTGTTAGTTTTAATGTGTTTTACTACACAAAAAAGCATATTGTCACATCCCGTGTGTGTATGTGTGTATGAATGCACTTTGTCCTTACTTTTCAACTCGGAAGCCAAAAAGCTAGGAAGCTAAAATTTTAGAATGTTTACCGCCAGCAAGCGACCCCGCATGTTTAAATCCAGCCTTTAGTGTGTCTGAGTCGAAAGCTAAATTTTTTTTTTTACGGGATGTTTTCTTTTCATGTGCAAACCTACAAATTCAAATCTCGCTCTCCTAAACGCCCATTTTTTTACGTGAGGGTACGAGGAATTTCGCATTTCTGCACATATAAACCATAAAATAGTGAATATTTTGAAAAGCAGCTGCCCGTTGGGCAGAACAACACAAAAACATGACTGATCCGAACACCTTGGTGTGTGTCGCTACTTTTTTTCTCCTAGTGATGGGTGTGAGAGAGGGAGCGCGATGGTCGTACTCTCCGTCAGATAAGTGGTGTGCAGGATGCCTTGGCAACCACACGAAAAAGTCTTATAAGCAGAGTTTGTTGTTCGCTGTGCTAGCAATCAGTGCACGTTGCGCACTAATGAGTGACTCGAAGAGATGATGTACATACATCGAACAAGCGATGACTATCAACTGAAAGCTTGCAGTCTAGGACAGAAGAAACTAGCATAGCTGCGTCGAGCGTATGGGAGCATCTTAGTCACACTATTAACATGGTATACCTCCAATCACATGCCCAGGGGATATTTTTTTTCTCTCGGAGCCCCTGTATGTGTGTGTGCGTGTGCGTGTACACATGTGTGTATCTGAGAGCATTTTGTCCAGAGTTTTCAACTCAGGGACCAGACAAGTTAGGAAGCTGAAATTTTAGGCAGATGCTCTCCCACCAGGCGTGATCCCGCGAATCTAAATTCAGCCTTCGCGTATGCCTAAGTCCCACGTACGGTCAAGTGAAGGTTTTGGCGCGGAAATTATCAATTCGTGAACCAGAAAAACTAGGAAGCTGAAATTTTAGGAGACTGTCTGTTGCCTACGAGCGACCCCATAAATTCAGATTCAGACGTCAAGTGCGACTAGATTTCATGTAAGGAAAGTGTAAGTTTTTGACCAAACAGAACATTCCGACGATTTTTGAATATATGAAGCAGCAAAGCACCATACATCTTTAATAGCAAATGTCAGCAGCAGTTAAGACAGAATCGCACAAAAAACATGACCGCACTAGCTACCTTGCTGCGCGCCGCTACTTATTTCGTGGAATACTGCCATATTCCAGGCGCAGATATATCAGAATCTCCGATCTTGAGCTGTGCACTTCTAATTAGTTCCTACTGCTGTTCGATATGCTTGCTTCACCCTTTAGTGCCGCCCTAGTAGTCGTTTACTTTCTCGTAAATATTACCTTTTAATATGTTACATTTACCGGTTATCAGCAATGTAAGCGACATGTTTGGCTCATTGAACT